AGGTAGGCCTATTGGAAGAATTTCCTTTTTACTTAAAATTATGAGCTTGAAGGGACGACGATCTACTGATAAGCCATATGCTGTCCCCAAATCCAGAGCGGTCTCGATCACAGCCGGGCAAAGAGTCTTTGAATCATTCCGTATAAGTCTTTCTGCCCAGAGGCGCCGCGTTGAAAACACTATTCTCTGATAACACGGACAAGGAAGGCAGCTGTTCTTATAAGAATCGCTCTCCGTACAGAGCCAACTCACCATGCTGAGCCAGAAATTTCACTCAAAGAGCCATTGATGTTGTGTAGTAGGCCTTATACTCATTCCTGACCATTGTGAGAAACAATTATAGTCTAAGGCCCTGGGACTTTATGGGGTGCAAAAATGTGATCAAAGTTTATTTCAATGAAATGCTTTTCCTTCCTTTTTTTTTTAGCCTAATTATTTAGCACAAGTCCAGCTAGTCTACTAGGCCTACTAACAGTGCGCTAGTTTTGTTTTGTTAGATGTGCTACCAACTTAAAACTGTGTTGTTGTTTTTAAGACCACGACTCTGGTGATTCAGCTGGGAACTGTTCCACCTGTTTACAATTATATCTCCTGTGTTTTTACTATTTGTTGTCAGCAAGAACAGAAAAAAGAGAACAACAATGAAAGTACAGTTGACTAAACAGGCCTAGTGTGTGTGTAACAGATCGAAATCTAATTAGTGGATGCCCAGATATGTTTTATGTCTTAATAATACAAAAGAATCGGGATGTTTTCATTTGCATATTGTCACCAATAAAACAAACACGTTTCATTGGCGAATCAATAAATAAACCGTTTTTTATCTCCAGTTTTAACGTGTGGCTTACTTACAAAATTTAAAAAAATGACATTGTCAACCATAAAAACATATCGACCTCTTACTGAAATTTTATATTGAATAGTAGGACTACGAGCCAACACGTGAAATGATGAGATTTTGTTTTAAGTAGGCCTAATAGATCTGTAAATCACAATTGCGAGCTAAGACTTAAACAAGCATCTTACATTAATTTCTTAACCTTTGTATCAAGAATTGTAAATGGTAAAGATGTGTGTGTGTGTGTGAAAACCCATTCTCTTCTGCCAAAATTGGGCAGAATACAAAAATATGAATCACTGTCAAGACAGTAAAATTCGCGGATAAGAACTTTAAGCAAAGAGAAAACAAAATCCTCCTCCTTCATTTGTAATCATAGTAGTATTGTGTAGTATAAGAAATCATGAGCTATCTTCCCTTCCCACCCAGCTCTAATGGGTACCTGGCATAAGGGGAAAAGCAAATGTTGTTGGACGTTGTGCTGGCCAAATGACACCTTAACCTTGGGCCACAGTAACAGATGACCTTCACGTCGCAAGGTCTGAAAAGGGAACTTGATTTTGCCGTTAACGTAACTACCTTTAGTGCATAGTACTAATGTAAACCTTTGAATGAATTTTTAAAAGAGGAGCTGATTTGTAAGTCGATATATCTTTAGCTATGTATGTATTACCAGAGCAGCCGATAAAGAATTTTTAAAAAGACGTCTTACCTTATGTGTGTTAATTTAGCCAAGAGAAGACGGACCAGTTAGCTAAATGCACGGACCTGGTTGTAATACTCTTCTTAATGATCTATTGACCGCGAGGAGGGAAAGTGTGATTAGTCTGCACATGACCACGCACACATACACGCGATAAACTCACGCACACACTCATAGCCTACTCCCCCGCGCTGAAATTGTAAGCCTACTGTAGGTTGGCGAAGCACCCTAACGAGTAACTAACGTAGACCAAGGGTTTACAAAAATGTTGAGATTAAGCCCGCTTTGATAATATAATGTCTTTTACTTCACTGGTAGGTCTACATTGGATTGGGAATCATTTTGGCGACACCTACACTAAGGATGCAACTTAAAATGTTTATGATGTGTACAATTTATTTGAAACATATGCTTCATATAGATCTAGAAGTTCCGTGGTTCTCTTATTATTTTTTTGGGTGGGGGGGGGGGGGGGGGCGTGATGATCACGGCGTTCTGGCAAGTCTAGTAGCACAAAGGCGGTCACTTTTTATAAAGCTTATATCAATCCTTATTTTTAATAACTAAGCTGTATAACATTTAACTCTTGAGCTATAAAGGGGATTATGGGCACGACATGGCTAAATTGTGCCGAAGTGCCAAAAGCCCTAAATATCCAATAGGTTTACCATTTGGTACAATTTTAGCACGGTACACGTTTCTTCTCCCACTTCCCATTCTTGAATCAAATTGAAATTTCGCACAATTATTATTCATAGTCGACAATTCATTAATCAACTAGTGGTAATTTTGTTTAACATTGAAAAAAGGACATTATTCCTGCAGTACTGAGATATATAGCATTGATTTTGCAGTTTTCCCCCTTAGACTAGCTTTTTTTTCTCAAACATTTTTTAAAATAAAGTTTCTCAAATCTTGTATATACTTTAGTGAGACTAGCTTGACTGCTAAATTGCCTATGGTTTATCTCACGGAGAACTTTTTCATGCGATTGTAGCATAGCGCTCTTCTCAACAAATATTTCCGTCCACATAAAACGTAGGTTCGGGTAGCATTCTCCTTGATGGTAGCGGAACCAGTAGGCCTACATTTTCGTTTGGCACGCTTTTCTTTCAGTGCTGAGGCCAATGCTTGTTCGCTGTCTATAGCTTTTTTTGGTCACCATCTCTAAATAAAAAAGCTTACAAAGATAAAGCATTCACATATCTCGCGAACTTGGCTAGAATTTTTTTTTTTTAAATTTCTTGTTTGATATGCATGCACCCAGTTTCATTTCCCCTTGTTTTGGGCCTCCAATCACACGAGGCCTGCCCTGGACGAACAAACTACAAATAGTCCCATAGTAGGCTATATATAAATTAATGTATAAATCTGTGATATGTTGTAGTAGTATCGATGCCAATGAGTGGGTAAAAAAGGAGCTGAATGGCTTAGGAAGGAGAGAAGGAAGACGGAACCATGTGTAGGTCTAATTATAGCATGGTGAAAGCAGTAGCCTATAATTGAAGTAAATTGAAACGACTTTAAATCGTTCTACATCTTACAATTTAACTTTTTTTTTAAAAAAATACTTTTCAACAATGAGATTAAAAGCTGAACACCAGTAACTATTCATCAGGAACTATAATAGGTAATGATGCCTATGACTCCGAAGATCATATAAGGATGAGTGCAGTGACGAGACGTTTTTATGTTTACACAAGAAATCAGACCAGACCAGAATTGCTTGGATGGAACGGGTAGTGTGCTTTATTATATGCCAACACATTATTGTCACAATTGAAAATCGTTACAACCTAATGGCAGAGTGGTCAGGCCAATTACACTACTGCGTCTCAACGTGTATAGCTGGTACTGACATTTCAGAACGGTGACGTCACGGCATGACATTTTAAAAGTCCTGGATTACACGGCGATGTAGGGCGCCAGTGCACATTCATTGTCAGTAACTGTTGAAATTGTAACAACACACAAGCATTAATTACCTTAACATGAGCTGTATGTACCGACAGTTTAAAACAATACAGACGTTACTTCAAAAAAAGATTACGCCCTAAGCGTCATAACCTAAACTCTGCCAAGTCACTGGTTTTCCTGGCTAGCTCATGCAACCCATTCCATTATGGTTCAGTGTTTTATGTATTTACATTTAGTCTTCAATCCTGAAGGCTTTCTAAATTAATCATTTTACTCTAGTCAAATGTGAATACCGGTATTCGTTTGTTATGAATCTAAACTGCTCTATTTTGTGTCTGTTCCAGTTTCTTAATGTTTTCTTGAGTTGAGGGGTCCCAAACAGAGGATGCATATTCTATTATAGGCTTAACCAAGGTCAAATAACATTTTAGTTTTATTTGATTTATAGAAATTTCTTTTAATAAACGCTTTGATTTTTTAATAGTTTCATCAATGTGGGATTCCATGACAGTTTTTCATTAATTATAACACCTAGGTATTTTGCGTTTTTAGTCTGTGTTACTGGTTTACCATGAATAAGATAAGTGGAATTAATTTGTTTGTCTTTTTGTTAATAACTCTTAATAACTGACATTTTACTGGGTGGAAAGACATGCTCCAATTTGATTCCCATTTCTTTAATTCATCTATTTCTCTTTGTAAATTTACCGTGTCTTGTTTATACTGTTCTATATATTATGAAATCGTCTGCAAATAATCACTTTTGTTCCTAACTAATGCAATTTTGGTAAATCATAATGCAAATTAAAAATAGTAGTGGACCTAAGACTTCCTTGTGGTACACCTGAGTTTACTGTTATTGGTGTCAATTTACAGCCATTTATCATTACCTATCTTTGGTACAAGCGGTCAATATTATATTTAATTGGGGGAGGGGAACTCTCTTCAATATACCGGTAAATGCACGTAATACTTCCAGTATTAATACAGGTACAAATATTTTTTTTTAATGTAGAGGGCCTAGTTAAGAGTAAAGATTTTGGCTATGGATTACATTTTGTATTTTAATTTCATGCGTACAATAAAACACCAACACCCTCCCCCCATGTAATTTTAAGAGATCAAGTATGTTTGTCTTTGCCAAGTTATATCACAGCTTAAGTCATTAATGGGATATCGGTACACCAAGAACAATTCTTTTTAAAACGACTACAGTACTTGTATTTAATTGCACTCAGCACACTAAATGTTAAAATTTTAAAATGTACATCTTTCAATTTGACGAACATTATATTTTTATTTCTAGAGGGTTCCTGTTTCCGATGCTACCCCAAGTTGTAGGCTTGAACTTATCTAACTCGAATACAGGAGAGCAAAATACCGGTAGCCAAAAATTATGGACTTCTGTCAAGAAGCGACTATGGACCACCATTACGAGAATCAATCACGAATGCAGACCGATCTAATGATGTACCGCACCAACATTTTGATCATGAAAATCATTGGAAATACACATACCAAGAAGTCTGTGTTAAAAAGGATTTGATAAAGGGAACAACTTTTATTTCCTCTTGATAAAGGGAACAACTTTTATTTCCTCTATGTCGACAAAATTTACATCTAAATGTTTATCTCAAACAACTTAGCAGCAATTGTTTCTTTAAATTCCAATCGCCAAAACCAACACTGAAGAATATTTAATACAAGTACCGGTACTTTGTTTTATTTGAGACTTAATCTTTGTTGTTGTTGCTTTTACAAGCACATTAAGTTAATTGAAAAAAAAAAAAAATTCCCTTGAATAAAAGGTCAAGGCATCCATTGATAGTATTAACAACTCCATAGCTTAATTGGAATACAAGTTAATCTGAGCTCATATAACTTTGACAATAAGCAAAAAATACAATATTTTAAATAAATCATCAAAAAAAAAAAAAAAAAAAGTTATTTTTAATATACTTTATTAACCAATTTAAGCAGCAGGTTGTTGTTCAGTTGGCATGCTGCGGATAATGTCAGAATCACCTGAAATAAAAAAATGTATTTGATAAAATGCACATTGATGATGGAGAGTATATAAATAAATTTGTAAACATACAATTAATTTAGAAGTCATGCATTAAAACTATTTCCCACAGTGCAAGTAAAATGTCAAAAGCTCTTACCTAGCACATTGTTTACATTTGATAAAAGTAATTAAAAGCCATAATGTTTGGTGTGTAAAATTTCCATGACACTTAACATTATCATGGGAAGACTGTACCACCATTTATTGTATGGCCGCATGGAAGGGAAAAACTGATAAAATATTTCCCATGGTTCAGCCAAGACAAAGACTGTTATTAAACTCACCAGGGTCTGTGATAGAGAGTGTGCAACATCTGAAGTATTTACCACAAGCTGTACCCAGTTCAATGTTGTTTCCACCATAGTGGTGAACACCAGTCTTAGCCAACATGGCGTAATACTCAATCTCAGATTTCCTGATAAACAAATGTAAAATTGCCTCAGTATATACATAAGACAGCCCTGATGCAGGTGTGCCTATAGATAAAATACCCTTTAAAGCTTGTTCTTTCAGCTCATACCCCATATTTGGTATATTTAAATGACAGACAACCTCACAATCTCATATGACTTAAGACAGACTAAATAATCCACCAACCATTATAAACCACAAGTCAAAATGTCAGTTAATCCAAGTGCCTAGATTAGTCCTATTGACCTGAATTTTGTCATAAATCACACATAAATACAATAGATCTTGCTAGTACATAAAGTGAGTGCTAAAATGCTTTAAACTCACATATAAAACTCAATGAATGTCTACCATTTCTTTGTAATACAAGACTGTTACACATTTGGTGTTGAAACCATGAAATTGTGTTATTAAACTGTACCATCAAGATTTAAAACCTCTGCTTTGAATGAGAAATAAAATAATTTTTTAAGAAAAAAAAAAGACTTCTTCTTAACCACTCATCGTGGCTCCGAAGCCAGAAATGAAAATTTAATTTAACACAATTGATGTTTCCTAATTAGCAAAAATAAAAGTAGTAGGTACCATATCTATACAAGTTTATAATATAATAATTAATGAAAATCTTTACCTCAGTGGAGGAGTATTGTTGGCAATGATAACTAATTTAGCCTTGCCAGCTCGCAAAGTTTTAAGTGTCTGCTTGTAACCCAGAACATATTTGCCAGATTTCATCACCAAAGCTAATCTAGCATTGATGTTGTCGGCTGTCTTTTTCTGTTTAGAGAAAAGAGGAAACTAAGGCTCAATCAGTACACTTAGAGTAAGTTGCATTAAAAATTATAAATACAAAACCCAGCAACCCCTTAAACATGCTAAAGCCGATCCTGAGGAATTAGGGAGCTCATGGTCCTTGTGAAGTATGCAGCACATGCAAAAATCAATCGCATCTGCAAGAATAACTTCCCTAGAGAGTGACAGGAAGAGAGTTTTGTTTTTTTTACCTGTAGATAGCACCACGCTTTAAGTCTTAAGTATGCTCAGCACTTTGCTGACTAACAATAATTGTAGACCACTTTAAAAAAAAAAATAATTAATGGACATGAAATTAGGTTTACTGGTCACTATTGAAGATCATAGTCTATTTCACAAAATCAAATTAAACCTGACATTTCAAAGAACGTTTTCAACTGCAGGAGCTAATCGCAGCTAATTGAAGTAACTGGTTAAACATGTTTTTGTAGCTGATATACATCTGATTATAGACCTATAACATTTTGCACACTTCTACTAATATTCATAGAAATGCATCACATCAAAATCTATTTTGAAATATGCATTGAAATTGTTGACAAAATCAAATGATTTTATTCTTTTAAGGTCAAACCATTGACGATTGTAGTTAGGAAGTTCAATTATAGATCTAAATGATAATTCTGATATGACTTACAGCCTTCTTCTGGGCAACCATTTTTGTTGGTTAGATTCTTGTACCAAATCCTCTGAAAAATAATAAAAATAAAAATAAATGAATTGGCCAACACTTTTTTAACAAGTCGAGATCTACAATTTATTTACATCATGCTGATCGATGTATCATACAAAATTTACCATAGTCCATAAGATTAAGTCATTAAGAAAATTTACGCTTTAGATCTAAATTCTAAATGTTCAAGTCAAGTAAAGAGTGAAGAATAAACAGCCCTAGCATACAATGTAGACTATTGACTTTTTGTAGACTAACAGCAACATTTTGTAGTTAGGCGAAAAAACCCGAAAGTGCGGAAGTAAAAAATGACAGATAATGTTGAGATTGCGTTTTCGACTTTTTTTGCATTGGCCTCACTTGCAAATTTATTACTTATCAATGAAATGTGAGAAGTTTTTAACTTGAGTTATCGATCACTTTAGACAATGGCCTAATTAAAGCTTAATTACGTTTTTTTTTAAAAAGTTATCATTTTTTAAATTTATTATAAAAAATACCCCTTTTTTGTTTTTAGCAATACAGGGTCCAGGAAAATGCCCCATTATTCATTTTTTTAACGCTAGATATCATGCCCGACTATAATTCTACCAAGTTTTATCACGATATCATCGTCGCATTGCTCAAAAACTTGAAAATACAGTTAGCATTGTGGGCTATGGCATGGTATTTACAGTGTTTTGTGAGTTTTTGATAAGGAAATGTCATCGCCGTAAAACCACTGGAGGCCATGTAAGGCCCAATATTCTGGATACATTCAAATAGATTTTGTGTATTAATTGTCATCACATGAATTTTAAAGTGCATTTGAAAAATAATTGTTTCAGATGATTTTGATCACACTTGTTAAATATTTTGTTATTTTCTGCCATCACAACACCGCCATTTTGTCCCCGCCTCTCGGATATTTCTTGTAGATCTAGACCCGATAATTTGTTTATTGCATCAATAATTACATTTTAAACAAGTAAAGTTCATAAAAATAAATGAAATCAGATTTGTGAGCTAGAAATTAACTATGAATACTAGATCTAAATCTACTATTAAATTTCTTATTTAATAAGTAGATTTATCCTCTACAAAACTCAATTCCAACTTTTTAACTTTTGAGTTGCGTATGTGTGGGGTCCTCGCTGACTTAGTGAGCGAGATGCACTCATCTTACTTGTTCCATGTCAACCAATGTTAATCACAACTTTCTAACTGTAACTATTAAACATACACTAACAGTAGGCCGTTCAGTCCGCCTGAAAAATCGTCTGTATTTATTGTCCCACTTCGATGCGAAACGAGGTTAGAGTATCCCATTTTTCTATTTAAAAGCCTCTTGTAAATATAAGTCGTATATAGTCATGTGATACACAGTTGTACGCAGAAATGGACGACGTTTCCATTACTGTTTGAAATATTAAGATATCTTAAGCGTGTATGAAACCGTTGCAGGTTGAAGTTTACTCTTTGTATTATCTTCGTATTCTGTTGACCCGGAAAATTTTTTAAACATTGTCACTTGCCGATTCTATGTGTGTAATTAAATTTTTTTTGTAAGTATTGACAATTCCAGCGGCTTTTCATTGAAAGTAATCTTTTATTTAGTCCAATAAAATCACTCGCGCAGCCCTCTTTTTTTTTCCATTCGCGATGTCAAAAGTAGGCCATGTGACTTTGCCCAGCCAATCCCCTTGTGCTTACCGGCTGTATAAATGGGTCAAATGAATTTTTCCTTTTTTACGTTTATCAATGTATTCAGCTGTAAAAACAAACATTTTAGTTGATTTTTAAAATTATACATTTGATTTTAGGCCATCTTTTTATGACATGGTCACAACTCCCAATAAGTCAGATCATGTACATTAGAATTAGATCTAGACATTGCCCGGGGGGAGGGGGCGGCATGAATGAATGCCATGTCAGATGAACGTGTTTTCTCACTTAAAATATTATTTCATAATGTTCCATTTTTCTTACTTTCTGTTCATAGGCCCTTGATTGAAATCGATTATGATTTTAAATCCATTGAAATCGTTGCTAAAATGGGTGAATATGGATACATTTTATATTAAGGAACATTTTTTTCATGTGGACTTTAAAAAAAAAGAGTATTTTCTTACTTTTTTTAAACTTGAAAGTATGCGTATTTTTATTTTTACTGATACTCATTTCAGGTTACATTTAAGAATTTGTTTTTTTTTGTGCTAATAGAATATACATCTGGGCATATTTCTGATAAGTTTTATCACGGTACTTTGCTCACTTTAATTGTTATCGATTATAATGATGCATAAATTTGCACTGCTCCCTATGGGATTTTAAATTTTTTTGAAAACTAAACTATTTAAGAATAAAATCTTGCACAGGCTAGTAGATATAGCAATTATGTATAGGTCTAAATAGATTTTAAAGAGTTTTTATGATCGCTTCTATTTTTTTTTTAATTTTAAAAAGCATTTGAAAAAAATTGTTTCAGGCGATTTTGATCCCACCTTTTAAATATTTGTTAATTTCTCCCATCACAACGCCGCCATTTTGTCCACACCCCTCAGACATTTCTTGTAGCTCTAGACCCGATTGTTTATTTTATCAATTTTTACATTCTAAACAAGTTAAGTTCATAATTATAAATGAAATCAGATTCGTGAGCTAGAAATTTACTTATAATACTAGATCTACTATTTAATTTCTTATTTAATAAGCAGATCTATCGTCTACGCAACTCAATTCCAACTTTTTAACATTTTGAGCGGGGGGTGTGTTTTGCGCACTCATCTTCATTGTTAGGTCAAAACGCCACAAAAAAATCATAACTTTCTAACTGTTTAACCTACAATGCTACATTCAAAATTTATATACCATTGGAAAGTTCTTTCAAAGTATTTTAATGATGTACTAATGAAAAATTGTTTTTTCTACAATATTTTTTTTATTTCACATCCCTACTATATAGATTAAAAAATAATTTAAAGTGACAATGTGAGACAAGACAACCAAAAGTGGGACAAACAAA